TGCAATATAAGGAAATAAGTATCTACAAATTGAAGATAATATGCTAACGGCTGTGTCTGATCTGTATATCTCATTTGGATATAGCATCAGTAATATTGAATACTTCATCGTCGTCCGCCGCAAATCGTACGTAGAGCGGCTCATACGTGAATGGGCCAAGATGGTGTTATCCTCTGCAACTCCGAAAGTGTACATATATATACACACGTGCGTGCCTATGGCAGATCTCTGACATGCACAAAGACGGTTCGTGCGTGTACTAAATGTGGGACGCGATGTGGTTATTCGCATGGAACTTGCTCATCGGACAACATATCCTCAAAGCCAGACCAGCAGGCCCCCAAAAGGCCCCCTCACGTATACAAACCATCCTGCCCACTCCGGCTGCAGCCGGGTACCGTGTACACCACCTAACTCCCACAGGCCAAACCTCTACACCTCACACGCCCTCCCCAGCACACACACACCACTAACCCATAGGCAGCACGTCCTTTGTCCTGAGAGTGTAACACATACACCCATCGGCCAGATGTGCCCTGTCCTGTTTTTAGCACACAGAGGGCCGGTGGGCTAGTTTTGCTGCCTTGTGCTTCATCTTAAAGCCCGTGCCCTGGGAGTCCATCTCCTTGAGCGTGGCTTCGACTTGCTTGACCAGATCTTCGGCTAGTTCACGGGTCAGGTTACTCTTGACCACCACACGGAACATGGTGGCTGACTTGGGGGTGTCGTTGAACAGCGGCAGTAACATCTTGGAGATCGGGTGCTCAAAGCGAAGGGAGTAGCCCGAAACGTACCAGTGCTGCTCGGATCTGGATATATATATATAACACACACACACACACATATATATATATATACATACATATATATGTGTGTGTGTGTTATATATATATATATACATATATATATATATATGTGTGTGTGTGTGTGTTGTGTTGTGTTAGGTAAGGATGCAGCAGAATTGGGTGTAAGCATGTGAGCATTTGAGCATGTGTGTGGCGGTGTGTGTGTAGATGTTGGGTATGTCTATAGGTGCAATGTATATAATGCATAGCACATATGGAAGAAATAGGTGCAATGTATATAATGCATAGCACATATGGAAGAATCTCGTACAATCAAAAGTGACGGCCAAAAATATTCAGCGTAACTGTATGTGCCAGACACACACACTATATGCACACCAACCAACATCACAAGCTAACATACAAAGATACCTACATACCTATATGTATATATATATATATATGTATATGTATACCAAGTACGCACACTATACGCACGAGGAAGTTTCAAAATCAGACTCACAAGCATGCCTGAATAAACACATGATACATACAGCTGGTGTTGGAAATCAATATCCGTGAACGGCAGGCGCAGGTCTGGGTTGAGTCTTGCGGACACCACGGGCAAACAAGCGGTATCACCATCGTCCATGATCACAAAGCGTTTCTTTCCTGTACCCGCAAAGGAATAGCAATGTGTGTGAGAACGCAGAAACCACTGATGTAGACATGCAGTCATGCAGACATCATACATCATGCAGACATGAACATGTGCGGGGTCTAGGCTGCATTTGTGAGTACGAAGGAGGCCTATGAAAATGTGCCATTATCTCTTTGTTTTAGGGTTATAAACCCTAAAACGTTTGTTGCCTACACCACCAATGGAGAGGGGCGAGTCATAGATACACGCTTGAGCGAGATCAGAGTGCGAGTGTATGGCTGGCATATAAGTAGCAGGGGGATTTGCATACATAGAAGGCTATACAAGCATGCGCCTAGTAAACGAGTATACAATCCACGGGCTCACGGGGAGTGGAAGACATAAGGTAGGTAGATACATACATAGATGGCTATACAAGCATGTGCCTAGTAAACGAATATACAATCCACGGGCTCACGGGGAGCGGAAGACATAAGGTAGGTAGGTACATACGTAGAAGGCTATACAAGCATGTGCCTAGTAAACGAGTATACAATCCACGGGCTCACGGGGAGGGGAAGACATAAGGTAGGTAAGTACAAAATACGGAGAAAAAGTCTTGTGCGTACTAAAATAAATAGCACATAGATATCTGCACCACATTTAATCACATTCGGTGCACTAAATCTACACACACACGTACATGCACACGCACACGCACAAGCATGTATACGAACAGTCAAGACGCAGACATAGACAAACAGACACACATAAATGACACGCACTTGGCTAATAGACACACACAGACACATCAAAATGACACCCACAGACACATGTAAATGACACGCACTTGGCTAATAGACAACACACAGACACGTGTAAATGACACGCACTTGGCTAATAGACAACACACAGACACATATAAATGACACGCACGTGGCGAAAAGACACACAGAAACCCTA